TTGGCTTATACTTTTATCATTATTTTTAACAAGTTCCAATTTTTATTTTCACATCTCTGTATTGTTTTATTTTTTACAACACGCTGTATAACCAATAAAAGTGTAGAAACTATTTATAGCCCATTTTCAATATGCGCAAAACCAGCATAAATAGTGGTATTAGTGACGCTCAAATGGCGGTGCGGTTTTCGAATCAGTAACAGTATATGGTTCTCGAAACGGTCGTATTTAGGAAGAGAATAGTGTATGGTTGTTGGTGTTCTATCAATATATTTAATTAGTGATTAAAACATACATGTAATGCACTCACAAACAATTTTGGAGCAAAACACATCCATTTTTAATGAGTACAAATGTATAAAAATTCAGAAACAGGTGGATTTGGTTTTCGATATTGGTGGAAGAGCCATTTTTAAGACATGTACCCATGGCAACCATTATACATAGTATGTGAAGTAGCTGATTTACATTACAATCATATACTATCATTATGTGTTAGGACATAGTAGTAATTATGGCATCTATGAAGTCACAATTGATGAATTTAATCACGTATCTCATGATTTATGGTAATTTTAATATTCACAATTTAATATATTTATCACTTTTCAAAGGTACATTTAGATCAACAGTTATATCAATTGGATAAACAGCCAATATAGAGTAGGCAAGGTGTTAAAATGGATTAAGTACTCTAAAAATCATTCTTCAAACCTAACCAAAGACATTATATTTGTCTTTGTTTAAACACAACATTAAGGTGTTTAATGATTTATTCAGGATTTGACAGAATTTAAAAATATAATAATGCAATTGAAAATTGAAAATAACATACTCATATTGCTTCTCTGGCTTCACGATATACCTCGTTCTTGTTTGAAGATTTATTCAATTAATATGTGTTAATCAGACTGACTCAACTATCATAAAATAGCTGCATTCCAGTTAGTTAGGTAAAATACAATGTACATAAACATATAAAACAATAGTTATCACAGAATAACTAATAAATTAGACCAGAGTAACTTGAAATCATCATGAAATAACAACTTATTCCCATGTGACCCAGTCCCTGTGTGGACGAGTCACCGCTTTGGGGGGTAAGTAAACCAGCTACCCCTATTTACTTCCTACAGTTGAGAGTTACAAATTATCACACAAACCATTATTGCTTGAGGTTATGCTTATATCCACATGTTGCGCTCGGTATATGTGATTTTCCATTTACAGCAGTTAGTACATAATCTTAATGTCATGTGGCCAGGGATTGTTATTCGTTGTAAAAAGTATTAAGCATTTGTTATGCCAACATAACATTGTAATATATTACGTACATCATTACTGATTGTACTTTGGAATCATAATCAATTTCTCATTAGAGTTTGCACACATTTCTGAAGAACTATGCTTATGTATCTCTGTGTACAAGTCATTTAATCTTCATTCCCTAATATAGTTTTGATGGCTTTTTCTGCATGTATATACGAGTGGGACTCCTGCTCATAATTGTCTGGTTTAGATGATATCCTAATACTACAATACATTCGTAGTAATTGGAATAGTAATTCGATATCAATGACTAGTCTCGAAATACCAATTGCTCACACTTCATCCTTCACCTATCCCACCAGATGTTCGGTTAACCATTTGTTGATGCCTTCTCCAATATACAAATGCGAAATGTTTTGAACTGGTAGATATGATTGGTGGTACTCGTACCCATATTTATGTGATTTAGAGTAAATCTGTTTATAGCGCATTTTTATTATCTGTACGACCAGCACAAATCACAAAGAGTGGCCATGAAGACACCCAAAAGCAATGAATACTTTCAAATTAGTAAATAGTTCCCAAAACCATATTTAGAGAAATGACAATATGATTTGCGTTAGAAGTATATACAATCGCAATGGGAGTCGGAATTTGTACAATTTGACGTAACCTTAAAGTAAAACAACACATATTTTCCTGTACATTTACTATGTATTTAAATGCGATAGCGAAAAGCAACACGCAGTTTGTTCAGTTCAAATTATGTTGCTTTGTTCTATGAACCATGACTTGGAGGACATTATTATCTAATAAATACATTTATCATTGGTTTATTGCGCTAAAATTCTCTGTTATAGTTACTGGTTCTAGACAGTATACGAATCTGTATTTGTAGACCTGACGACATATACAAATAATTAATGGATGAAACAAATTAAATGAATTGTTCTGAAATGTCACTAGAAATTTTGAATAAAATTACCAGCTCAATGTCATTCTTTCGAATCATATGCCTATTTTTCGTAAAACATTTTCCAGCAAAAATTATTTTACAGTTTAGTGTAACTATTGCATATAACGATATTTTAATGTAATAATAAGTAGGAAAATGTTCACTGCAAACAACTTCAATTAAGAGACCATCTAAGAGATCATTCCTCTTCAGATACCATCACTTTAATTTCCATCGTGTGTAATGGAAACTAACACCGCACTGGAAACGGACTACATTTGTATAAATGTTTTAACAAAATTACGACTCGTATTAATACTAATCTATGACCTTTTCATTCCTTGAGATATAAATAATCTTGCAAGAAGAGCAGTATAAAAGTGTCAAATAAATCACCAAAACGTTTCAGACAGAATTTAAAATCAAATACTTAATAGGTTCATATCATTTGGAAACTGAAAATGGAAAAAAGGGTAATCGAAAATTCTGAAGTGTGTATGAGAATGTACATATATAATTTGTCAATTGGATAAGTTGCAGCTACCTGCATCCAAGGGATAGTACATATCGCTACTTCATCCAAGGTAACTTTGTCCTGTGTGCATGTTTTGACATTACCGCAAATGAACGTCCAAGATCAGGGGCATTTATGAAAGATACCGCCGTTGATAATTATGGTATTCACATGCTGTTCTCTATTTGCAGAGAAGATACAACAATATCACTGGTGAAACCTCGTCCATATCCCTATGTCCATATTGCCAAACTAGCGAACTCGTTTCTGAAAACGCAATGCAGGTTATAACCTAGTGTGTCAGTCCAGTAGTCACGATCCTTAACAAATGAGAAAATAAACCCGAATGGTTTACTGATATTCTTTGGCTATGGGCCAAACAGAAATTACTGTAAAATGTGTCTGTCGGACACATTTTATAATTTCCATTTCCATTTTTATAAATATAATTTTCATTTCTATCGGATATACATGCAACCGTTTCCAAGCAAGGCAACTTTACGAAACATCAGTGTGGTTCGGATCACAAAGCAACTGTATTGTCCCCAGAACAGTCCAGTAATATTAAAAGTGCACCTGTTGAGCCTTACAAGTAGGAGAAAGACGCAATAATTCATGCCATGTGTAATGTTCATTGGTTGGTCAAAGAAAATATTGCAAACATAAAGACTATATCATCTATGTAAAACGAATCACGTAAGTTCACGGAAATATGTTATCTTATTAAACATCTCGTTTTAATTAATTATTTTGAAACAAATATCATTCATATCCTGTCATAATACGTATATAAGATAATTGATTAATTCTTCATTCTATTGTATTTACAGGGATGGAACTTCACTATTCTGAAGGGATCTAACTTCCAGTGTATATATATGTAATAAATGTATATTTCAGTTATTTTTAAGATTTAAAAAAAAAATGTATTGCGTGAAAATTCTAGAAGGGTATATATCGGGTGATACAGGTGGGGCAATATATATTCACGTGAAATGATGTCCATTAACATAATTTCGTACATTAATTGTGAATGCTCAGAGACTGATCATTTTGTCTCATGTAGCACTTTAATTTCTCTACTACTGCACACAGTGTCCTATATACGTGTGTAAATGTACGTTGTCCCAAGTGTGTTATTGTGATATGTCCGTTACAATTTGTTAAAATCTCTATACGACTATAATGATTTAATGAATGAATATGTCATTGCTTTTTAATTTTATTATTATCATATCCGATTCCCGGTCGAGAATTGAGATGCAAATTGGGGTTTATCATATCTGCTTTTTTTATTCAACTGATTACTAATAAAAATTTCGCATACATTGCCGGCAATAAAATGAACAGCTAACTTCTAGTAGAAAGGGAGTAAAACGACTATTTTGAGCACTGAGGTCGCCCTTCATTAATACCGTTCACGAGGGAGTGTAATATTGCAGCGTAATTTCACCAGATATCATATGCAAGCTTCATTCATGTGACCTCACACGGCCCTTGTTCAAAACCCCATTTTTCTCTGAGATAATACAACTGATCGACAGAAATCGGGGTCCTGTGAAATCAGAAGATGCCACGGCGATATTGCATATATATCCGGGATGTGGTAACTATAGTAACCATTTGAAAACTGAACGGCCTGCGATTGGACCATTTTTGTCTTTCCAATGGGATAGGGAATAAGGATAATTGCCCTCAATGGAGGATATATATCCCAATGTAATACTAAATATATACCCTGTATAATACACTATTTATGATGTTGATATAACCTATGATATGATGCAGGATGTATACATAAAAGTAAAAAAGAAATATTACGTTTTTGCACATATAAATACCAAACAAAACAAAAGTATCCCATTGCTTAATGAACAGCGCTCATCAATTTATTACAATTAAAGGATGGTATGTTCTGTAAAGAGGAAAGAATACATCCAACCGTAGATCTGTTTATGAAAACAAATAACTCAGACAACAATCTACAAAACAAGTACATAGACATATCCGATAGTACAATTCATTATTTGCATATATCACCACATCGATTGTTTTCGTTAAATCGTAAATACGAATTTTAATAGTTTCTACTCACAATGATTCTATTTCTCACATTATATGTAAATAATCATATACGAATTGAATAATTACTCTGTCGGACGATTACACTCCCTTCTATTGCGTAAACATTACGTAGGCAATATCGTTCAGACAGAATTTAGACGTTCGTTATTGAGAGCACAACACATTTTCCAAATTTGAAAACATTTTTAGTGACGGTCGACATTTGTGGAGCTCTTTCATCAGGAAGCATGTTGTTTGCCGGGACTCCCCTCTAAGTTCGTGGATGTTTGAAAGCAGGCGTAGTCAATCGCATTTCTTGAAGTTTGTAACCAGGAGAATGATCTCAACTTGTCATTATCTGCTACATAATTCCGGGTTCTATTGGATCTGATCTTCGAGGATTTCATGCTCACACCATCCCAGTCAATATTGCTTTGATTAACCAAATCATGAAATTAATTAGGGCATTCTGCAAAGTTTATGCCGTATTAATACTTTAATGTTCCTCAGATGTTAGTTCTGTCGTCGAATTCCTGTATCCATGTTCGTCGTCTTCGCCTGAGGAAACAAAAAATACGTAATCAAAGTATCAGATAAAAAAAATACATACTGAAACGGTAAATGAAAGTGACCATGAAATTGAGGTCAATAGTTTGGGGATTTTAGATAACGTAACTCACATTTATATAACACACTTGATGTGTTATATTGAACATACGTTAGAATAATTTTGTTCAGATGCCGACGATTACTAATATGCATGTGAAAACAACAAATCTGCATAGAAACAAAAGACCTACAGAAAGGTACAGAAATTATTCCACTCTTGGTAATGTGATCTATTATTCTGGTAATAGATTTATGTCTGTGAACATGTTGTTCTTGTGTAGATTGTAAACTGGTAACACTTGCACTTGTACACAGAATGTAATTTCTACAGTTTTATTCATGTGCTAAGTGTAAATACTTCAGATAACTGTACATAACTTCTTTGCAACATAAGTGTAACATATTTTCTAAATCGCTATTGTAAATCAATTCTCTACCTTGGCTATTACTGTGTAGCTTTAGTTAAAGCAGGGGAGTGGTCACATGCGCATGCGTCAGATGGCCATAGCGTGTCATTGTTTACAAACAAGTGTCTACCCATGACCCTTTGCGTTTTTAGCGTGTGTTGTTATGCGTCGCTTGGGACTCAATTCCCGCGCGTGCGCAGGTGACGACCCTCCTGCTTTAACGAGGAGACGCACTGTTCCTTTAAGTATTGACACTTACCCCGTGTTCCAAGTACAATACCCAGTACAACAGCTATAATTACACCACCAAGAACTAATCCTAACATAAGCGTGAGCAGCTTTCTCTTTGCTAAGTCCACATACACATCAGGCTGTTTCGTCTCCTGCTCCCCTTCTACCTGTAAAATTAAATTAATTAAAGTTGTTAGGAGATGACAATATATACAAATATCATAACATGTTTTGGATATAGTGGTTGTTATAGATTTCACAATTACGACGCGAGGTCACGTAGTCACAAATGTAATGACTATTATTGTATTACATTTTTTTTATTTGATATGATACCAAAACGTAAAGCACTTCTGTGATTAAATTTTCAACAATAATCAACTGGTTTTAAAATGGTGGACTGCCAGCTAGGTCAACCTTTCCAGTTTTGCCAATACCAGTGTAGTAAGGAGACTGGTGTTCAATGTCAAAATATATGAACAAAGAGCTTACAGAAACTATCCAACAAAATGGGATCCAAGTTAATAGTTTTTTTGAAAACTAAGTTTAAAAAATCGGTGTAAACGATGTACAGTATCTTTAGTATGCAAAAGATGAGTTTCAAGTTAGAGCGCCACCAGTCGATTTCCGTGCGAGAATGAGGTTTGATTACTCACTCGCGCAATGTATTTGCTTGTTTCCCTTGTTTCCGGTGTTCTAGTGAGCAATCGAACGTTCACGCGACGAAATAACCCCTCCCCCACGCGGATGAAATTGAAACGTATTATATATACGTTTATTTTAATAAATTTTAATATCATGATTTTGTAAACGAGACTGGAGACCATATGATTATACACACTTCATCATTTATGTGGTAAATGCTACACTGACTAATGGCGGATTCCCCACGTATGAATTCACTTATATAAGAAATTTAGCATGATAGCAATTAAATGCTAACTGCGAAACGATAGTATCATTTTCAGTTTTTACTCGTTACAAGGACGTCGCCCTTTACAGCCTGAGATGACATGGCAGTTTGCCATGTCTTGTGAGCATTGATAAATGGACACCAATGTAAAATACACTTTTCTTAGAAGCCGCGCCTCCTACCGTTGAGCGTTACTATGACGTAAACGGTGAAAGGAACCTCGTTCGCAGTGTCGATAATATTAAAGTCGTTCTACGTCAGCACCGATCGTGTTTCATTTCGTAGTTATTCTTCAATGAAAAATAACCTGATTCAAAAGTCACATTCTAAAAGACATGCGACTATTCAATCAACCACGTTTGTCGCTTGAACCACACTGACTTCACGGAAGAGCGTCATCGTTTATAGCGCCCTACTTGGGTATTGGTTTCACTTACATTTCAATGGTGATTAATTACGACTAGGAATATATTTTGATAAATCATTAAAAAATCACAATTCTCCAGTTAATTACTAATGACGAGATCATTACGTCACGCTCATACTATTAATTATTCATGCGGTGTTCGAATCGGGTGAACGAGTAAATACGATGAGGTTTCGTCATTTTGAAACTGTGGGTGGGGATTTTGACGATAATTCAACGGCAAAACAAAACAGTGGCTGGAAGTAAACAGTTTGAATAAAATGCAATTACAATATTAGTCGTTATGTAATTGTGAATAAAAAAACAAGTTCCCCCGGTCCCCATGGTTTGCCATTGAGTGACAGACTTGTCTGAGATGTCCAGTATTTCTTCAAAAATTACACATCAATGAAGAAGATTAAAGAGGGTCCGGGTGAAAACCACAAATACGTAATGACGCAAATAATATTAGGAATATCGTGATCGTCTGCACACGTTGTCTGACAATGACAGTATTCAGCAGAGTTACATAATTTCTATAATTACCAAATTATTACGTCATCTTAACAAACGCAATTGAATGCGAGTGTGGGTTGCAATGTAAGAGATCGACCATTTGCAATTATAGGGGTGGCTGGAAGAGTGAGTACTTTGCAATTCTAATGTGCGTTTGCGGTGAGGTATTTATCATGAATGTGTAAACATTTTGTTTCTGCAACACATTGCCTGCCATTTCCCTCCTCTCTCGGTATTTATAGCTTGCAATTTGTTTCCAACAAATCTTCCAGTCTCTCACAATGCCTTCAAACGGTTTAATGTAATTAATGTAGTTAAGAACATATATCGACTTTTTCATTGCAATTTTATTTTGTTTTGTCTGTTTTGTTCACACAAAAAACAGACGGGATAATCTTTTTCTAATTTTAACAAAAGAATGAATCAAACATTCTTATGGCTATTAATGATAGCAGTGGCGGATCCAGCAAAATGTATTGGAGGGGGCCAAGCTGCGCTTAAAATTACGGAGCGTAAATCGCAGAGAAGCTACGCGTAATCCAGATGATATGAATCGTCATGCGTTTGGAGGGGGCCATGGCCCCCCTGCCCCCCTCTGGATCCGCCACTGAATGATAGAACACATATTTCAAAATTATGTTAGGTAACCCATGGTAACTCGATCGCGTCAAAATTTTTCTTATATTATTAGGATGGGCAGTTATCGTTGTCATGCATTATCACAATTGTGAATTCTACTGGATTCATACGAAAATAGTTCCAAAATACCTTCATATATATGAGTTGAATCATTTACACAAGACGGGATTGAATACGTCGAAAAATGTGTCAAAAAACAAGCTGATCTCTGATTGGTCAGACTGTTTGATGTTAGGGTTGGGTAGCCAATCCGAAGGGCACAATGTTTGTAAGTAGTTTCACATGGACTGTAAGCATAAGATAAGTTTTTCCACATCAACAACTACGTAATACTTAAAAGCAAAAAATGCGATAGTTTGTTTGTTGCAAATTACCTCAACATTTGCGGTTTAAATACACTAGCCCCTCATACCCGTCGACAAAATGATGGGGCTCCTTACCGACTTGACATCTGTGCTGTCGAATTTCATGGATTTGTGAACTTCTGGATCAAACGGCACTACTTTTCTGGTGTCAGGAACTGTTCTAGGTGGGATTGTTGTATTTCCCGACATAGCAATTACATCACGTGACCATGACTGGCGTCATAATTACTACGAGAACAAAAATAACAGTATGGTACAGCTGTGTCAATGTGTTAATCCATCTAGTTTAAAAACACGAAGCAAAAAAAAATAATCACGCATCGTAAGCGTATCTATATATTTGTCATATACTGCACAATGATAATATGTGTGTTCGAATTCAACAAATGAATGACATTCAATATTGAATGAATATGCGTTTTTGATTTTTAAATGGGAGTCGATGTAGTCAACATTTGCAAATACTGGCGTAATTATAGCAATCTGTTTTCTATTTATCTTTGTGACATGCTCCATTTTCAATGGATGAAGACACATTTGTTTCCAAAATGGAAATGAGTATGGATTTTTACCGACCCATTTTTTTTTATTAATCTGTATTGAACTTTGATTTAACAATGAATACATATCTTTATGAATGATAGTGTCCTTGAAAATAATGGAATCACCGGACGCTGTCTGTTACACTGTGTCGACTGGCATGCAAATTAGGACAATGCATAAACCAATTAACAGCTGCTACGCGTTACAAACACAATTCACCATCAATGTCATATTTCTGTAATTCTCGGCTATATGACGAGGTAGATACAATAAATTAATTCTTGAATATTTAGCTCAGCTTGAAATTTCAAGAAGGTACTTAGTTCTTGGATATCGGATACAAACAAATATGATTCAACGTAGTCTGCTTACACATGTATTGGCCGTGTTTGTTTGTGTCGCCTGATTACACGTCAGTTCATTTAAGTCTTTAGCCTAATGGTCCACCAAATTATGAGGCATGACCGCGTATATCTTCTACGCTTTGTATACATTGATTTTTTAATCCCGTGTCATAGTCGACAGATTTCAAAATTGGCTTTTTTTTCTAGTTAAATGCACTGTGTGCTATTTCAATAAGGATATTCACAATGATTCATAGAGATGTTATAATAATGGCGGGTTTGGTTAGTACTGTGATCGGCGCATCGCAAAGAATCAATGTTATTGTGTACAAATACTCGGGGTAGGTAAATTTAAATTTAACATCTGAATACATGTAGTGTTTATCAAGCACGGATGAATTAATTGTGTTTATAATTACTTACATACTCTCGAATCAAAGTGCAATCATAAGAACGCGGATTCGTCTGTACATCGACTCCCTTCGCTTTATTCCCACTGTTTATTAATAATATGATTTCCAAAATGGCGATAATGATAACTGCCGTGGCAACTGTCGGTTATTATATAGCGCCCTCGCACAGTAAACTATATTATTAAGTGACAAACACAAAGGATGTTTTACTCATTACATTCCTTCACATCCTCAAAAATACAGATAATTTACAAGAGACTCGCCATCATGTGAAATTTCTATCTATAATAGCGTCGCTTGCGCATTTGCCATACAAAATGTATCTGTTTGAAAAATAATGGAATCGAATAAATAAATACTTGAGTAAATATATAAACATATTAATAAATAACAAAATAAATAAATAAATAAATAAATAAATAAATAAATAAATAAATAAATAAATAAATAAATAAATAAATAAATAAATAAATAAATAAATAAAGCAAGAATTAATGAATGAGGTCAATGTCACGACCAATACACAGTAGACAGCGGACGAAGGTATGAATAATTCTGGGCATTCAGCTTTTCATCCATATCATGTGGGTAATGAACTTGAGTGCATGTAGTAGGTGACTAATCAGACCAACAATGCAGAAGAAGATCCAAACATGTAATGTATTGATTAGCAAGCAAAGAAGGCAAGTATGAATATGCAATGCGTTAGAAAGTATCGCGCGTTAGAAATTATTTTACATAAATTGTGCGAATGTCGATAGCGACTATCGATTGTATCTCAAATATAAAATTGAAGCTGAGGTAGACATGATTACTTACATGATACGATTAAATGAGTTTGGAGTCACAGTTCCGAGATGATAGGGATATATTCTTGCACGTGAGGGAAATATTACAACTTGCCAGCCCAGGGGTGTACAATCACGTGACTAGCGTGCTGACAGATACAAATCAAAATCAAATTGTTAAACACAGCTCCCAACAGGTGGCTTTGGTTATATGTTATTTTGAAAGCTGTGATCGATATATTATAAAACAACAGCGAGAGCGGCCTTTGTGGCGTATTTAAATATCTTTTGTAATGAAATATTCATAGTATTGTATATCACTGAAGTTAGTCGAATTACCACCGTCGACTGTCCTTCGAACCGTGTCAGACCAGATTATTATTTATATGCTAATACGTTCCAGTGCCGACGACAACTGATCAAACTGTATGAAATGGGAAATATTCGACTTTCTAATGAATTAAGGGGGTCATTGATGCTTGGCATTTGAGTGCAGCGGTGTGTTATTTTATCACAATTCACTGAAAATGACAGGAATTAGCTAGAAGGAATTTATTTATTTATGCAAAAATATAGTATTATTGACAATTTGTTGATAAATATCGCAATACACTGCTATCCATCAATACGGAGTAATTGTTTTCTTTTATTAATAGAAAAAGCTGACTGAAAACCATTCAAAATCAACGTTGTAATCAATTGAATTGTTTCGCGATTTATGCGATACTTTTCCCGCTCACTTAAGGGAGCCGACAGACCGGGCATTCGCTGTGTTCACGGGGAATCGCAGAGCCGTAGTGTGCTCGTTCAGCAAAGAGTATAACGTTCTCACGTTGTAGTCCTCGTTGCCTTGGTCATACTCTTACTTGTAGTCGCTGTGTCTGCAGAGAGGATTTTATCCAAATCGTGCATGTACCGCGAGTGAACGTTTCCGCAAACGCATTGGATTGAACCGTAGCCGAATTCTTGCTGGTAAATCGGATTGACACGATAAACGGCGGGTACTGCTACTACACGGTATAAGCCACTGGTCGTAAATTGAAGTGAACCGAGTGCCAAACCGACGATAGTAGGGAAAAGGACTGCACTTCGTAACACGTTCACTGGTAAGATCAATATTTAGTTAAACATCGATTCATCAGTGGTTGCTGCTGCCCGACATAGTTGGGCGGGACTTCGACTGTGATGGTATCGTTTTCTCGAAATAACGCAACAGCGGAGAGCGAATTGTTAGGACAGAATATTATTAAAATATGTATACATATTCGAATAACGCCGATATGTCGGTTACCTATTTGTATTAGTCGGGTCGTGATACACTGCGCTACATAAGTAATTTGAATACTTGACTTGGCCAAGTGTCTGTTCAGCCTTGCTATGCAAATTAGTCAGTTCGTGCGGAATGGACTTCTTGAAAATTAGGCTGCCAAGCCATCACTTAATTAACTCAATTTCCGCGCTTATGGTTGGGAAGTGACTTTGAAATACTACATCTTTATCTCTCGTTGAACAATCAGGTGATCGATTTGTTTACAAGAGCCCTTTATTAACATCACTATCGTGCAAGTTACAATCGCATTCGTGTTGTCGTCTGTCACCGCCTTTTTCCCGCCATAAATCTCCGGTTTCACAAACCGTCCTATTATAAGCCGCGCACAAAGAAATAGTACGCTGAAATCGTTCATGTAAATTGTAAAGAACCGCTTACATTTTTTAATAGAACATCAAATTTGTAACGGTTGTTCTCGCTTGTTTTCTGTGGAATGTAAGATTTAGGGTTCACACTTAATTGAACTTCATAATCTTTCTGGTTGAATATTTTGGAAAGTGAGTGACACATCACGTTCGTCCAGCGTAATATCGCTTACTACAACAAGACACTTAATAGCTGTCAACATTATCAACATCCAGTATGCGCTGAAACCAAGTCATCAGCGCCACATATAATATTACTGGAATATTTTAATATATTTTATAAAAGAATATAAATAAGCAGTTGTCAGTCAATATGAATTTGCAGGAGTATTAATAAACGCGATTTAAAACTAGACATACCTGCAATGCGCACTGTAATACAGAGATATGTTAATACATTTTCTAAAAAAAGCAAATAGAACAGGTAGATATTAAATATGTAGTCGTTAGAGTATTAATAGATACGCTTTAAACAAAGACATATAACGATGGGATATTTTAATATATTTACGAAAAATAATATAAATATAATAAGCAGTTTACACACAACGTGCAATCGAGGAAAGACAAGCTTGGCACGCGCGTTTAAACACCGTGACAAATATATTCGGTGTATTTCGACAGCGTTTATTCGCAGTGTTATTATTTGTCATTTATCTAATATAATATAGGTGTGTAGAAACTGGGCGTTACATTATAACACCAGGTAACCAAAAAGATAACACACAGAGGGAATCCTGTTAAAAATATGGATTGAAAACAAAAAATGCATCTATTCCACTCTGAAGAAACCCTAGCTCAAAACCGAGTGAAGGAAAAAACAGCTGACACATCCCCCTCCTAGAGTTGTTAATGGTCAATTCCTTATTATTATGATAAAAGAAGATGCAGTCATTCACTTATTCATTCATCACATTTGTGTGGCAAGGTTAAATAGATTGATCAATGGTATAGAGTGTACAGTCACGCAGTGCCTCGCACTGTAGTTCGTGGAAAAATTCAAGGTCAAATGCATGTGGGGGTTAGTTACGGAGTGCACGATTACACAAAGAACGCGTGTCCTTATACAGTCGGTTGTAACACATGGGGGTGGGTTGATTTGTCATTTTTATTTCGCGTGATCGCATCAACTCATCACGTTGACCTTGAGAAAGATGTAGAAGCCTACCATGTATGTAAATATCAAGAATTTATTCATTTTGCAAAAAATTGTACTCCCGGGCAATTTAACTTAAACAGTTGTGGGTTACCAGCTTAAATGGTTGTACTTTGGTGGACAATGGCCACATCTCAGTATTATAACGCTTATATCATAGATTCCTATAGCAGAGATATTATGTCATATTTTAAATTGTAGGCTAGTGACAGACTGAGGCTGAAAAAAATGAATGTGGGGTACTTTTTGTTTTAAAAACTGTGTTTTAAAAAAGTGTAAAAATGCAATTTTTCTTAAACATTGTGTTCTGAGGAATTATTCTAAAAATAGCGATTTTTGAATAATATTAGAACAAATTTCTAATAATACATCACTTTAACATAAAAAAGAATGGTAATTCATGGTGCCATGGGACAGTGACTCAATCATTTTACATAATAACTCAATGCATATTGTCATGCAATTTCATGCAAATTATGCTTGTACCTTAACTTGAATTTTATAATACAATAAAGGTACAGTGAGTATATTCTGTTGTAGACACTCTACCACACATCAATGTTACATCATTATTTTAGCATTGCCACACATGTATGTAGTTCTTGAGTATATATCTAAGCTGGGTAGAGATAAAGTACACAGGATATTTGACGTAAACCCGCATACGCGCATATGTACGGCAGTCAGTACACGTATTGGAGTTGCTGTTTTTTAGTATAAAACACGTTTGTCAAATAAGCCTAACTATCTGTGTACTTGAGGGGAGAGGTTGACACTTGAAGCCCCGAAGCTTGACTGCCTCAAAGATTGAGCTCCTTCAAAATGTCATGGTGAGACAAAATGCTTGTTTTGAGTGTTATGAATAATTAGAAAACACACGTATATTGAGGGTAGAACTAAAGAATTATTTTATAGTCCAAATGTCATGAATAATTATAGTTAATGGAATACAAAAAAAATAACTAATATAAAACAAACACATGTAGTCATGTTTTGGCAACAACTTTATGAACAGAGACATATCCGAAATATAAACAATAACCGAAATAGGGAAACATAGCATCTTTAGTATATGTTATTGAGAACACACAAAACATTTTCTTTACGCCCTTTTAGCTTTGTGACAGCATGGGAGAATCATGGTTTGAATAGAAAAATATGTATATATGTAACAACATAGACAGTGCCGCACTGTTAACTGAGATATAGAGAAACTTGTAAAAAAGCAAAGTTTGTTGTATCCAACTGAAATATGCCAAACATTTCTTCGCTCTACTCTTAAAATTCAACGTAGCCTGAACTCTTATAACAGACGGCAGATCCGTTTCCGATCAAATTTCAATCACGACACATCTACACGCACATCGAACTACACTGCTTGACTACACTCGCATAGTTTGGTATCATCGTGACGTCATATTTTCCGGTTCATTTATTACTTACAAGAGATATTTGTACAATATATACGTACAATA